TGCACTCCAGTCTGGGCGACAGAGTGAGACTCCAACTCAAAAAAAAAAAAAAGAAATAACAAAAGACATGAATAGACACTTCTCAAAAGATGACACACAAACAGAAAACAGACATATGAAAAAATGCTCAGCCTCGCTAATCATCAGATGAATACAAATCAAAACTGCAGTGAGATACCACCTAACTCTGGTAAGGATGGCTATCATTAAGTCAACAAACGACTGGTGCTGGTACGGCTGCAGAGAAGAGGGAATGCTTCTACACTTTAGGCGGGAGCAAGCTAGTTCAATGTCTATGGAAAGCAGTGTGGTGGTCTCTAAAAGAATTAAAAGTTGATCTTCCATGTGATCCAGCAAACCCTCTCCTGGGAATATACCTGGAGGAACATAAATTGCTCTATACCTGCACATGCATGTTTATTGCCGCACTATTCACAAGAGCAAAAACATGGACCCAACCCTGCTGTGTATTGAAAGTGAACTGGATATAGAAAATGTGGTACATATACATGATGGACTATTACACAGCCATAAAGAAAGAACAAAATCATAGCCTTCGCAGCAACTTGGATGTAGTTGGAGGCCATCCTATTAAGTGAACTATCACAGAAGCAAATAATACCACATTTTCTCATAAGTGGGCGCTGAATACTGGTCACATTAGTACAAGGGTGGGATTCAGTCGCTGGACACTGATAGGGGACAGAGGGAGGGAGGAGGGTGGGGAGCACATGACAACACAAAGGATAGCTAGTCTACAACCAGGGGCAGTGAGGGCCATCTAGAAACCCAAACTTTACCTGCATGCAGCCTACTTGTATAGTAAATCCTCACTTGTAACCCACAACTCTATAATAAATAAATAAATTACAGAAAAATAGATTATAAAGTAAATAAAAAAATCAATGTCTTTGGACTCTGGAGAGGACAGTAGTTTTTAAAAGCTTTTCAGGTGATGTTTGGTCAGAGTTGAGAAGCACTTGTATATAAAGCATGCAATACATTAATGGTTCCTAAACTTGGAATGACCTTGGAACTTGTTATAATATTGATGTTTTTGCATCCACACCTAGGAGTTTGGATTTAGTTGGTCTGGGGAATGGCTTAGACACTGAGATTTTTAAAAGCTCCCTGATGATTCCAGCATGCAGCCAAATTTGAGAAATGTTGCTCAAATTTTTAACTTTTGAGAGGACTACAAAACCCTTAAAATTTATACGCTGTTATTATTTGCTTTAAGAAATCCAAGGAGTTGACTTGTTCTATTTATTTATAGCCTAGAAATATTTTTCTTCATGGCCCTGATCAGCAAGTAAAAATAGGAGACTTTGGTCTGGCCTGTGCAGACATCATACAGAAGAACACAGACTGGACCAATACAAATGGAAAAAGTAAGTTTGGGTTTTTTAAAAAAAATATAAAAAGGACATGATTGAACATGTCAGTATTTAAAGAAGATCATAAAGATTTAAAAGCAAAGGTAAGATTAAAAAAAAAAGCAACTGTTGTTCCTAACGTAGGAGTGCAGTAGGACCTGTTCATAGTAGATGTACTTTAATGTTGACAGTCTTAACATTGCAGTGTTTAATATGTGGCTTCTGAAATTATAGGAACACCAACACACACTTCCAGAGTGGGTACTTGTCTGTACGCTTCACCAGAACAGTTGGAAGGATCTGAGTATGATGCCAAGGTAGTATTTGTTGCTTTTTACCCTTTGATTCAACTTACTCTGAAATCATAACTAACAAAGAGATCTTTTTGGAGATAACTGAATATTGTAGGCCAGGGGTCCCAACCTCCAGGCCATAGAGGGTACCTGTGGCCTGTTGGGAACCAGGCCACACAGCAGGAGGTGAGAGGTGAGCGAGCTCTGCCTTTTGTCATATCAGCAGTGGCCCATCCATTATTTTATTTATTGCTTGATATTTTTCCCTCCCATTATTTTATTTACCACTTCCGTCTGCCGCCACTTTTTTTTTAATGGTAGGTTGTATAATTATTGCATTATATATTATAATGTAATAATGAAAGAAATAAAGTGCACAATAAGTGTTATGTGCTTGAATCATCATGAAACTATCTTCCTGTGGAATAAAAATTGTCTTCCATGAAACTGGTCCCTGATGCCAAAAAGATTGGGAACCACTGCATAGTCTATCTATTGCATCAAACTGCCCTAAGAAGCTTCACTTTTCAATGGAACCTGACTGCATTGCCTTTTAGATTACTTTACTATTTCTAAATCCATAAATCCACAAATTATTTTTGAAATGAGCTTTCCTTTTATTTTTTTTTTTTTGAGTTGGAGTTTCACTCTGCCACCCAGGCTGGAGTGCAGTGGCATGCTCACGGCCACTGCAGCCTCAACCTGCTGCGTTCCGGTGATCCTTCCACCTCAGCCTTCCAAGTAGCTGAAACTACAGGCACGTGCTTCCACGCCCGGCTAATTATTTTTTTTTGAGTTGGAGTTTCACTCCGTTGCCCAGACTGGAGTGCAGTGGCCGGGAGCAGCCACCGCAGCCTCTACCCACTGGGCTCTGGCGATCCTTCCACCTCAACCTTCCGAGTAGCCGGATTTATAGGCGCGCGCTACCATGCCCGGCTGATTTTTGATTTATTGTAGAGATGAGGTCTTACTGCCCAGGTGGGTCTCGAACCCGCGGGCTCAGGCAATTCACTTACCTCAGCCTCCCAAAGGCGCGGGATTACAGGCTGAGCCACCGAGCCCGGCTTAATTTTTTTTTTTTTTAATTTATCGTAGAGACAAGGTCTTGCCACGTTGCCCAGGCTGGTCTTGGACCCCTAGGTGCAGGCAATCCTCTCACCTCAGCCTCTCAAAGTGCTGGGGTTACAGGCTTGAGCCACTGCACCTAGCTAAGTTTTCCCTTTTAAATGTCACTGTTGGCCAGGCTCAGTGGCTCAAGCCTGTAATCTCAGCACTTTGATAGGCCGAGGTGAAAGGATTGCCTGAGCTCACAGGTTTGAGACTAGCCTGGACAACTTGTCGAGAACTGATCTCTACAACAAATCAAAAAAATTAGCCGGCATGGTGGCACACACCTGTAGTTCCAGCTATTTGGAAGGCTGAGGTGGAAGGATCGCCTGAGCCCAGCAGGTCGATGCTGGGATGGCCATGAGCATGCCACTGCACTGCAGCCTGAGTGATGGAGTGAGACTGCAACTCAAAAAAAAAAAAAAAAAAAAGTCACTGTTCATTTCAGGAAGTTAGAAGTCATGGAAGTCTGTTTTCGTTCTTTCCTTTTTTTCAATCTTAGGTAAATAGATACTACAGGGAATCCTGCCATTTGACTCCCCTTGAAATAGAATGAAGATACTGTAGAACCTATTGTTTTTTTGAAGAAATGCTAAAGTAAATCTTTTTTCCAAAATAATAGCCTAGTAAATTTTCTTTCTTTTGTTGCGTCATGCAGCTTTTTAGCTATTGGGAAAGAGCTGCTGGAAAAACCATGGCTGCCCCTAAAATCTTGTCTAGTAAAGAAGTTCCTAAAAACACTATTTTTAGGAAAAGTAACATAGTTTATTTTTTTTTAGGAGTCTCAGTGTATTGCTCAGTCTGGAGTTTGGTGGCTCACTCATGGCTACCGCAGCCACAACCTGCTGGGCTCAGGCAATTCTTCTGCCTCTGCTTTCCAAGTAGCTGGGATTCCAGGCTCATACCATGACACCTGGCTAATTTTTTTTTTTTTTAATTTCTTGTAGAGCTGAGGTCTTGCCAAGTTGCTCAGGTTGGTCTTGAATCCCTCTTCCCTCAGCCTCTCAGTAGCAGAGATTTTATGCTGAGTTTGATAACTCTTACTAAGAATACTTGGTGATTATAAGTGGAGGCAGAGGCGAGACTGGAGCAGGACCCGGGACACTGGCTTGTAGCTGGCACTCGCAGGCATGAACTCATTGCTCTGCCTTGGTCAGGTCTGGATTGTCAAAGGGTGGTGAAGATAGCCGTGTGGTTGTGGGTGGTGGGTGATTATCCCACCCTTCACCTGAACTTTGATCCTATGTGCCCATGGATGCCCCTTTTTGGAGTTGTGAAAGTCCGGATCACCTCTTGCTCAGGGCAGATGCCTGCCTCTGTGAGAGATCAACCATCCTGCTCTGTTCCCTTCATTGCAGGTGACTGTACATCCTCATTCTGAGGCATCCTTTCATGTTTGAGAGGATGGTACATTGAAATGGAAATGTTATTCTAGCTCTGTATTTCACTACTAAATTCCTCTTTTTTTCTTTTTTCCAGTCAGATATGTATAGCTTGGGTGTGATCCTGCTAGAGCTCTTTCAGCCATTTGGAACAGAAATGGAGCGAGCTGAAGTTTTAACAGGTTTAAGAACTGGTCAGATACCAGAATCTCTCAGTAAAAGGTGTCCTGTACAAGCCAAGTATATCCAGCACTTAACTAGAAGGAACTCATCCCAGAGACCGTCTGCTGTTCAGCTGCTGCAAAGTGAACTTTTCCAAAATTCTGGAAATGTATGTACTTTTTTCCCTTGGCCCTAGGGCAAAGGTGGTTTTTATTCCCTCTCCGGAGAGGGTAAGATGGGCGGGACCCTTAGAAGACAGGGCTGGAAGAGCCAAATGATCATTCAGAAGGGCTTGATCATGTCCACTTGCTGGCACTGCAGGTGTATTCGCAGGAGTCACTCTCCTTGAGGTGGCGGCTCTTGCATCAACAGAGGCACAAGGAGGTATGCTGGTGTTCACTAAGAGGGAGGGCATGTGCCCTGAGGGAGCAACCCCACACTTGACACCTGCCCAATATAGTAACTTTCAGAAGGCCTGGCTGGTGTGACTTTTCTCTGGAGAAGGGCCTGAGGGCCCCATAAGCAGTGCTTCTGATGGCTGGACCTTTAAATGTCCATTTCAAACCGAGACTCTTCACTGTCTACCTGCTTATCTTCTGGGTGATTGCGCCAGGGGCTCTGACTGGCTTCTGTTGGAGGATCATCACTGGTGTCATAGATGATCCTGGTACCTCCCAGGGTTGTGCTGAAGAGGATGCTCCTAGAGGTGGTGCTGTAGTCCCCCAAGGGGACTACAGGCCTTCACTGAGGAACAGCTGGTGAATGGTGGGGATGGCCCTGCTTGAGGTCTGGCTGCAGCTGCTGCCCCCAGATATAGTCTCTGTAAAATTGTTTTGATGTTGGGGAAAATATGAAACTTAAAATAGAATTTGTGTAAGTTGTGAATCCTGTTTCAAGTTCCCTAACAGTGTGTCAGGTACTAAGTTGAATGAATACTAATAGCACATTTGTGTTTATAGTCCACGTATGCAAGTTGACTCACTGCACACTGTCTATTCTAAAAATTATATGCTTCAGTTTCTAACCTCATCTTGCTAAGTCATTGCAAAGGTTTATTTTCCCTTTCCAACTATGGTATATAACCGTTGATAAATTATTATAAAGGTACCTACTAGTAAAAAGAGACACACATTGAAGGGTAAAAGACAGCAGAAATTCTAATGGGGAGTTGGAATGTTGGCAGAGACTGCCCTAGCCAATCTAAGAGCTTTCGGCATTCAACTGTGTGATTTTGGCTGAGTCCTGTGATGTGGTATTGCCGCAAGGCAGCCCATTCCCTTTCTCCTTCCTGACATGTCATTATAGTGCCAGGTATAGTCTAGTCTGCATATGCTGGAGATAGTAGATGATTCAGCCTAAGACTTGGTAAAACTTAATTCAAAGATTATTCACAGATTCTCTAGTGCTTTGCTACTCAAAGTGTGATCTCAAATCAGCCTCCTCAGCATACCTGGGACCTCCAACCCAGACATACTGAGTCAGAATCTGCATTTTAACATAATTTCTAAGTGATTTACATAGGCAGTGTTTGAGCAGGATTGCATGAACGCAGTGTTTCTCAAAGTGTAGTCTCCAGATCAGCAGTATAAAATCACCTGGGAACTTGATAGAACTCTCAGGTCCTCACCAGTCCCCCAACCTAATGATTAAAGAAGATAAGCCGGGCTCGGTGGCTCAGCCTGTAATCCCACCCTTTGGGAGGCTGAGGTGGGTGGATGGCCTGAGCCCGCGGGTTTGAGACCCGCCTAGGCAACTTGGCGAGACCTCATCTCTATAATAAATCAAAAAAAATTAGCCGGGTGTGGTAGTGTGCGCCTGTAGTTCCAGCTATTTGGAAGGCTGAGGTGGAAGGATTGCCAGAGCCCAGCAGGTCAAGGCTGCAGTGGCCGGGAGCGGCCACTGCACTCCAGTCTGGGTGACAGAGTGAGACTCCAGCTCAAAAAAGAAAAAAAAAAAAAGAAGATAAATTTTGGGAGGCGAGGGGACAGCAGCTTTGAAGCAGTTCTGACATACACTAGTTTGGGAACGACTTGTAGTGACTGCTTAAAATAATCAGATGGGCCAGACATGGTGGCTCAAGCCTGTAATCCCAGCACTTTGGGCGGCTGAGGCGAGAGGATTGCCCTGGGGTTCGAGACTAGCCTGGGCAACATGGTTAGACCTTGTCTCTACAATAAATAAATAAATAAATAAATAAAATTAGCTGGGCTTGGTGGCACATGCCTGTAGTTCTGGCTACTTGGAAGGCTGAGGCAGAAGGATCGCCTAAGCCCAGCAGGTTGAGGCTGCAGTGGCCATGAATGTGTCACTGCACTCCAGCCTGGGTGGCAGAGTGAGACTTCGACTCAAAAAAAAAATTATCAGATGGTTTCTTTTTTAAAAAAATTTTTATTATAAAGATGTGGGGTACATTTCAGGGTTAGATATACAAACACTGATCATGTAGGTACCCTTGTTGATGAGGTATGCCCCTCCCTCCCCTAGCAGTTTCCCTCAACTGCCAATCCCACCCCCCCAGTTTCCCACTGCTGTCAATTCGATTTTTTATTAGCATTGTAATTGTTCAAGTTCAGCTTATGAGTGAGAACATATGGAACTCAGTTCTGTTTCTGTGATAAATCACTGAGTATGATCTTCTCCAAATCCATCCAAGTTGCTGCAAAATCAGATGGTTTATTTTCTATATAAGGCTATTGTCAAGTGAAACTGAATTTTATTAGCTTAAATGGTAAATAGGTAGGTGTACTGCTTTTCTTTTTGAAAGTGTTTGAAACTAACAGTTAAGACTAAGCATAAACATTTATCTTCAGATATGGAGGGAATTTTCTGATACCTAGTTAAAGATAGCTATTAGATACCATAGTTATTTGATATTTGTGATAATAATTTCTTCTGTCTTGCACATTAAAAAAAAAAGTAGCCTACACATGCCTAGACAGGTAAGGATTTGTATATACAGGCAGCCCTTGCTTTGCATAGTAGTGTGGGAGTGTCAAAAAATGATCTTGCAAACCTCAAGCCTACCAAAGTGTCCTTACTAAGAAGTTATTGTTCTGTGACCTTTAAAATCTGTCAAAACATTAAACTGTCAGTTACAAGTGTATATGGAAATGAAAAAAACCATAAAACTTTATTTAGTACACTGCAACTTAAAATGCTAGAAATATTGAAAATTCAAATATTTCAGGAACAGTTTGAATGGTGCCTGCTCCCTTCATCTCCTGTAATGTACGACATGGAGCAAGCATCTTTTCTGTACCTTGGCAAGTTGTTATGCTCCTTGTGAGGTCTGGATTGGCTTCTAGTATTTTTTTTTTTTTTTTTTTTTTTTGAGTTGGAATCTCACTCTGTCGCCCAGGCTGGAATGCAGTGGCATACTCACAGCCACCACAGCCTTGACCTGCTGGGCTCAGGTGATCCTTCCACCTCAGTCATCCAAGTAGCTGGAACTACAGGCATGTGCCACCACGCCCAGCTCATTTTTTTTTTTATTGTAGAGACGAAGTCTCATCTTATTGCCCGGGCTGGTCTGGAACCTGTGGGCTCAGGCAATCCTCTTGCCACCACTTCTCAAAGTGTTGGGATTACAGGCGTGAGCCACCATGCCCAGCTAGCTTCCAGCATTTTCTTTGCACTTTCAGTGTCGTGAAGTATCTCTGAGAGTTTTTTATTTTTATTTTTTTTAATTTACCTGTCCCTGACTTGAAGCTCAGAACTGAGTTATCTTAATGTGGCTTTTTGCTGGTGTTGTTTTCTGTAGGACATCTTCATTCCTTTCTTTTATTTATTTATTTATTTTTTGAGTTGGAGTCTCACTCTCGCCCAGACTGGAATGCAGTGGCCTCGACCTGCTGGGCTCCGGTGATCCTTCCACCTCAGCCTTCCAAGTAGCTGGAACTACAGGCGTGCGCTACCACGCCCAGCTAATTTTGATTTATTGTAGAGATGAGGTCTCGCCTGCCCAGGCGGGTCTCGAACCGGCGGGCTCAGACAATCCACTCACTTCAGCCTCCCAAAGGCGCGGGATTACAGGCTGAGCCACTAAGCCCGGCTGCACCAGTTATTTACATCATGTTTGGAGAACTGAAGAGCTTCACATAGTTAAAGTTAAAATTAAAATACTGTTGTCACTAACACTGGAACTTGGTAACTGGGTGTTTTTTAACTAAACTGTGGTAACTGGAATCCATGCATATTGGAACCTCGTAAAGCGATGGCTGCCTATTTAAAAGGCAAGTAACCATTTTGACAAATTTCTCTTTACAGGTTAATCTCACCCTACAGATGAAGATCATAGAGCAAGAAAAAGAAATTGAAGAACTAAAGAAGCAACTAAACCTTCTTTCTCAGGACAAAGGGGTTAAGGATGACATGAAAGATGGGGTTTGCATGTCTAGACTTCATCAAGCTTGATCAGTAATATGAAAATGGACTTAGTTAACTGGAATGTAAATTCTCAATCTTTATTAGGGTATAGTTGGTATAATTCTTATTTGTATTTAATAAGCCTGTACATGACTTATTAAAAATGTAAAAATGCCCCAACTGCTTTAAGTAGCTCTTTCATGACCTGGCATCTTGAATGTAAGCCTACACTTAGTTAAATCTCTTCTGCTCGTTCCTTTCCTACCCCTCAAGCTCCTATTCCTGAATTTTCTACTTAAATATTTCCATCCACCTAGTCTCTGAAACTAAAAACTTAGACATCATGCTCAGCTATTCTTTCTCCTTCCAACTTTCTTGACCCTTTGGTCCTCCTTTAGAAGGTTCTACTGCAGAAACTGTAAGTGTGCTCTCTATCCATACCCCCATCACTGCCCACATCCAGCCACGTACACTAACTGGATTGTTCCCGTTTTGATAGCTGCCAGTCTTCCTAACATTTTCACACCACTGCCGAAGTCAGTTACCAGGACACCTGATCATTTCTTGGCTCAAAACTTGCTGGCTCTCTGCTGCCTTAAAATTTAAGCTTCTTAGCACAATGTACAACTTCCAACCTTTTCAATCTGTTCTCCCCACCTTCAACTTAGCATCATTCCAAAACCATACCTTTGCAATGCTTTGTTGCCCCCAAATGATCTCAGAGCAGCTGAGTTACCATGTTTCCTGCCTTTGCCCTGCACTGTTCCTATGGTACTTTTTCCTTTATTATAGCACCCACTTCCATAGCTAACCTGTACATTCCTCAGAGGCAGTGATCTGATATACTCATTTTTGAACCCCACAAAGGGCCTGCCACATAGTTGATAATCATCATATATACCTTATGCATGATTTGACAGAATTTTAAATAAAATGAAAACCACAAATTACATGATACTTTTATTGGTACTTGACAACTGGCCTAAATAAAAAGACTTTGGTTCTAATACAAGTCCCTTTAACTGACAACAGGCATGAAACAGCACCATTCTTAAATTCTAAACTCTTTTTAAAGTTAGCTACTGAAATTCACTTAAGGAGCTTGAGGGCAGTGTTAAAAGGGGCCAGGTTTTCACAAGATCTCATCCACCTCTGCACATTGGCTGGCACTGTAGCACTGCAGCCTCCCGTCTGCTGGAGCACTGACCATAGCATGACGTCTGCCACAGTGAGTTCATTCCCAACGAGCCAAGGGCTTTTCCCCAGAGCAGAGTTCATGGAGCGGAAAACAGCAGCTTTTTCTTTAGTGCTTCCCTCTTTTAACTGAAAAATAGCGATGTCTACCCAGCTATCTATGAGGGTTGAATTTACAGCATTATGTTTCTGGTCAAACAGAGAGAACAAGAAACGTGCAATGTTCCCTTCTCCTTCGATGGGGCACATCGTCTGAACACTGAATTTCATCTGAGTCTTCGGCACTGTAAAGAAAAAACATGGCATGTATCATCAAGAGCAGCCCGAGGGAAGTATTTGTACAATGTGGAAAGGGGAAGTCACTAAAAATGATGAACTGATGGCAAGGGAAAGTGCATTTTCCAGAAGAATGTCATGTTTTTAGTCTGTCTCCAAAAGGCTTAATATTCAAAAAGGCTTAAGTACAAACTATATGTTAAATTAAAAAAATCAAGTAACCATTTCTGGTATTTCATTATGAGAGTTTTGAAGCTATAAGGGACCTCAGACCATCTACTTTAACCTCTGTTGCCCGAGGACTGGAAACCCAGGAGTTGCATCTCCCAGGTTGGGAATTTACTGCCTTCATAATCGCTCCACTTAAGTGGGCAGTTAAGATATCACTGTATGAATCATTAACTCACTTCCCTCTGTATAAACTTAACCAGGAGTGGATCAAAAGATAACTTCAGTGTCCCTATAATGATACGTTTTAGAATGTGAGGCCAAGATGTATTCTTACTATAAAGCAAGCTAGAGGACAAAAACAGTGTAGTTAAGAAAATCATAAAGAGGCCAGGTGTGGCATGTTCTATAGCCCCAGCTACTCAGGAGGTTGAGGCAGGAGGATTGCTTGAGCCCAGAAAGTGGAAGCTCTTGTGTGTTATGATCACACCAGTATACTCTAGCAGGGGTGACACAGTGAGACTGTCTCTTTTTCTTTAAAAAGACAGTTTAGCTATGTTGCCCAGACTGAAGTGCAGTGGCATGATCATGGCTAACAACAGCCTTTATCTCCTGGGCTCAGACGAACATTCCACCTCAGCCTCCTGAGTAGCTGGGACTACAGGTGTGTGCCACCACATCTGGCTATTTTTAAAACATTTTCATAGAGATGATGTCTCACTGTTGCCTAGGCTGGTGTTGAATTCCTGGCCTCAAGTGATCCTCCTGCCTTGGCCTCCTTAAAATACTGGGATTACAGGCAAGAACCACCATGCCTGGCTATTTCCTATTCATTTAGTTGAAGTAGATCATCACAAAGGTCTTTATCCCCATCATCCTCACAATGAGCAGAATGAGGAAGAGTAAGAGTTGGTCTCACTGTCTTGGGAGGCAGGCACACTTGGTGCAACTTTATGGAAATACATCCTAATTTTGCTCTTTCGTTTTTTTTTTTTTTTGAGTCGGAGTCTCACTCTGTCGCCCAGACTGGAGTGCAGTGGCCGCTCCCGGCCACCGCAGCCTCGACCCGCTGGGCTCCGGCGATCCTTCCGCCTCAGCCTTCCAAGTAGCCGAATTACAGGCATGCGCTACCACGCCCGGCTGATTTTTTGATTTATTGTAGAGATGAGGTCTCGCTGCCCAGGCGGGTCTCGAACCCGCAGACTCTTTCGTTTCTTTAAAAACCTTTCTATACAATACCGATCCTTCCACCTGTTGCTTTAGTTTCAATGCCTGTAACGTAGAAGACTCCATAAGTCATTAAAAGCAGTCTTGAGTAATTGGATCCCTTCTGCCAGATTATCTGATGTCAATTTGTTTTCTGGCATTGCTTCTAGGTCATCCTCACTGGCACCGATTTGGAAGCAATCCTTTCTACCAAGTTGTCTTCTGTTACTCTCTCTTGTGTGGTGTCTATTAGCTCTTGAGTTTCTCCAAGATCCTTATCTTGAAACCCTTCACCTCCACTTTTATGCCATATCTGGTCTCTTTCGTGATTTCCTTGATTAGTTCTAATGTAAATCAAGTTATGCACAACATCTGGATAGTTTTCTCCAGGAATTTATTGTTTTAGGTTTGGTGGCTTTCATAGCTTTTTCTGTAACAACTATGGCATCTTTAATGGTATAATCTTTTCAGACTCCCATGTTGCTCCATCAAGGTTCTCTTCCATAGTTTCCATGGTAGACAGCTGTTTCAATGGAGTAGCATGTAAAATGAGCCTTTTTTTTTGAGTTGGAGTCTCACTCTGTCACCTAGGCCAGAGTCAGCTCAGGCAATCATTCTGCCTCAGCCTTCCAAGTAGCTGTAACTACAGGTGTGTGCCACCACAACCAGCTACTTTTTTGATTTATTGTAGAGATAAGGTCTCGCCAATGTGCCCAGGCTGATCTCAAACCCATGTATGAATCATATTAACGCACTTCCCTCTGTATAAACTTAACCAGGAGTGGACCATATGAAAAGATAACGTCAGTATCCCTATAATGATACGTTTTAGAATGTGAGGCCGAGATGTACTCTTACTATAAAGCTAGAGGACAAAAACAATGTAGTTAAGAAAATCATAAAGAGGCCAGGTGTGGCATGTTCTATAGCCCCAGCTACTCAGGAGGTTGACGCAAGAGGATTGCTTGAGCCCAGAAAGTGGAAGCTCTTGTGTGTTATGATCACACCAGTATACTCCAGCAGGGGTGACATAGTGAGACTTTGCCTCTCACCTTGGCCTCCCAAAGTGCTGGGATTATAGGCATGAGCCACTGCACATGGCCTAAAATGAGCCTTAAAGGTCCTTATGATTCCTTGATCTAGAGACTGAATTAGAGACGTGTTTGAGGGCAAGTAGATTACTTTGAATCATGGGGTTCTGGGTAGCCAAGGGCATTGGCCAATATCAAAAGAGCTGTAAAAGGCAGTCCCTTATTGGCAAGGTACTTTCTGACTTCATGGACAAGGCATTGATGGAACTAATCCAGAAAAAGGGTTCTTGTCATCCAGGTCTTCTTGTTCAAACCAAAACACTGGCAGCTGCGTTTGTCTTTTCCCTTCAAGGTTTGGGAGTCAGCAGCTTTACAAATATGGGCAGACTTGATAATAAATCCAACTGCATTTGCACAAATAAGTATAGTTAACCTATCACTTCCTGCCTTTCATTCTGGTGCTTGCTTCTCTTCCTTACTAATAAATGTCCTCTGTGGCATTTTTTCCCAGTACAGGGCACTTTCATCAGCATTAAAAACCTATTCAGGCAGATATCCTACTCAATGATTTTCTTGATGGCATCTGGGAACTCATCTGCTACCTCTTGGCTGGCAGAATTCTTCTGTTATCTTGATAGTTTTAAAGACAAACCTCTTTCCAAAACTGTCAAACCATCCTTTGCTGGCATTAAATTCTCCAGCGTTAGATAGCTTTACTTACCTTTTACTTTGTCATTATTTGCTTTTTCTCAAATTATTGAGTCTATAGGTATGCCTTTCTTATAGTAATCCAGCACCCACATAAAAGCTTCATTTTCAATATGGAACAAAAAAGTACTTTGTAAAAAGCTCAAAGTTTTTGCACCTGCTGGCATAGCTGTAGTGATGGCTTCACAAATTCCCTTTTTAAAAATAAAAACAAAAACAACACAATGGTCACTGAGGGTGGAGGACTGCTTGAGCCCAGGAGTTTGAGACCAGCCTAGGAAACACAGCAAGACCCGTCACTACAAAAAAATAAAACAATTAGCTGGACATAGTGGCGTGCGCCTGTAGTCCCAGCTACTTGGGAGGCTGAGGCAGGAATATTGCCTGAGCCCAGGAAATCGAGGCTATAGTGAGCCATGATTGTGCCATTGTACTCTAGCCTGGGTGACAGAGTGAGACCCTGACTCAAAAAAACCAACAAAAAAACCCCCCAAAACAATGGTCCTTATGCTGGATTTGTTTATCTTGAAATGGTGGGCAACCACAGATGTGGACCTGAATTACTAGTGGCACTTTGTATAGGTGCCATGGTGTTATTCAAGGTTACAGTATTGTACTAAACACAAAAATATCCAAGAACCCCGAAAGGTTGCTTTTTATGGCAATAAACAATTTACTGGAGAGATGAACTGCTCATGTGGAGAGGATTAGTGTCATATGGCATTTTAAACTGGTAGAATACCTGAGCTGGCTACAAATTTATTATAGTACCAAATATTACCAGTTAATTTTATGCAGTTATTACTTAATATTGCATCTTTCTGTTTACATTTCTCTGGACTGCAAATGGTGCCCTGTATGGTATGTGTGTATATATTTTGATAAATTTTAACTTTTTATAATAGATTTGTATATATTTTATGGTAGTAAATGATAAAATAGAGTAGTGCCATAGCATAACCTTTTTCTTATCTTTTCAGTATTTCTAAGCTGCAGTACATCTGTGAGATTTTTGAAATTCTTGCAGATCTCCAGAAAATTTTCCAACATATTTATTGACAAAAAACTGCATATAAGTATACCTGCACGGTTAAAAGGTCAAAGGTCAACTGTATATAAGTTTGCTCAGTCCTCTCTACTTACCGTTCTTCCAAATTAAAGTAAAACCAAGCTGATATTCTTGACGGGGCTGTTTTTTAGTTTGGTCTCCAAAACACTGGAGAAGGTTTTGAGGTACACTCTTGACTGATGAGTGCATGTGCACAGTGGACAGGACCCTGTAGTGGTCACAGAGCAGCCTGTGCAGCACGAGCAGGGAGAGGGGAGGGGAGGCCGGGTTTGCGTTGATCACGATGTCTTTTAGTGCCCCGTAATCCTGGAGAAAGACCAAAACAATGTAGCAAATAACAGCAATCTGAGTATGCATAATAGTACCAGGCAATATTCTAACACTTTAAGCAGGATTATTTAATTGAACCCCCACTCCCATGAAAAAGGTACTATTATGATCCCCACTTACAGCTGAAAAAACTTGAGGCCTGGAGAAGTGAGTAACCTATGCAAAGTCACTCAGCTCAGTAAGCTTGGAGCTAGGATATGAGCTGACTCCACCCTCTCAACCCCTATGCTGCTGGTTCCCCACAAATAAAAAGCTGACTTTCCTGTCAAACATCGTATCAGGAATGACACTTCTATTTGTCCCTTTTATCTAGTATAGATAAAACTATGCTTAAAAAAAAAAAATTACACAAGCCAGGTGCAGTGGCTCACCCCTATTATCCCAGCACTTTGGGAGGCTGAGATGAGAGGACTGCCCGAGTCCGTGGTTCAAGGCCAGCCTGGACAACTTGGCGAGACCTTGTCTCTACAATAAATCAAACAATTAGCTGGGTGTGGTGGTACATGCCTGTGGTTCCAGCTACTTGGAAGGCTGCAGTGGCTGTGAACATGCCACTGCACTCCAGCCTGGGCAACAGAGTGAGACTCCAACTCATAACAAAACAAAACAAGCCGGACTTGGTGGCTCAGCTTGTAATCCCGCACCTTGGGAGGCTGAGGTGAGTGGACTGCCTGAGCCCGCGGGTTAGAGACCTGCCCGGGCAACTTAGCGAGACCTCATCTCTACAATAAATCAAAAAATTAGCCGGGCGTGGTAGCGCGCGCCTGTAGTTCTGGTTACTTGGAAGGCTGAGTGGAAGGATCGCTGGAGCCCAGCAGGGCGAGCCTGCGGTGGCCGGGAGTGGCCACTGCCCTCCAGTCTGGGCGACAGAGTGAAACTCCAACTCAAAAAAACAAAACAAAACAAAAAACAAAAAATCACACATGCAATTATTCCAGCTACCAAATCTTTTTAACACCTGACTACCTGACAGGATATAGTTTCTCCATCAATTTGTGTTCATCAAGATATTTCAATGAAGAGCCCCTTACATAAGGGTCTTGGCTCTAAAAATCATTGATGACAGGTGGGAAGATTCTAAAACACTAGGTGTTAATTAATGTGCCCAAACTGACAGCCTCTCCCCCACTGTGCAATCTGCTTCAGTGCCAGCAGTCTCTGGGCACAGAAGCCTGGCAATGGTTTGGGGCCACAGCCTGCTCTGGCATGAGGCACTAGGAGAGGTCCAGGAGGACAGGCCTGTCATAAATCCAAACCCATGCTCGATAACCTTTTTAGATGAAGATTCTTATTTCTAGCCAGACTTCTTGGCTTTCTGTACACAGCCTGCCACTCCTGACCAATGTCCTACATATCACGCTGTGCTGAATGCTTTGCAGTTCCCTGAACATATTGTATTACTTGACACTGTACCGTCTGAGGCATCAAAATTCATCTTGAGCACCATGTGCTCTGAGAAGCCTTCCCAGCACCCTGAGAAATCACTGTCATGGCTGTGTGCTCATCAACTCATCCACTAGACTCTGGCTCCCTGGGGACCTGGTGGGGTCTCATCTAAGTCCACAGTGCATGCAAACAAGTACTGGATGAATGGATGAGCAAGAAAAGATATACAGAGATGCAGAGGTACTGAGGTAACCAAAAGCAGAGCCCTGGATGAGACACTGCAACACTGCTTCCACTTTCAGGTCTTTAAGTAGTACATTCTATCACCAATTCTGGATGAGGGTATTAGTGGGGATTTTTGGGACAAACCGTTTTGAACCCTCAAATAAATACCACTTTGTAATAAATGAGACATTCTTTGCACATTAGATTGTCCCCTAAATCAGCTGAAGCCTATAAACTTCAAAAATGAAAGTTGGCTGATGCAACTTATTTTCAATACAGCAAACAATTTAAGGAAAAAAATTTGAAATATGGGATTGTGACTGGCTTTAGCAATATTATTTCAAAAGAACTGGTGGGCTGGCCAGGTTTGATGGCTCAGCCTGTAATCCCAGCACTTTGGGAGGCCGAGGCAAGTGGACTGCCTGAGCCTGCGAGTTCAAGACCAGCCCAGGCAACTTGGCAAGACCTCACTTCTACAATAAATAATAATAAAAATTTAGCCGAGTGCTGTAGCACACGCCTGTAGTTCCGGCTACTTGTAAGACTGAGGTGGAAGGATCGCTGGAGCCTAGCGGGACGTCGCTGGGGTGGCTGTGCATATGCCACTGCACTCCAGCCTGGGCGACAGAGTGAGACTCCAATTAAAAAAAAAAAAAGAATTGGTGGGATTCTTGTGTTTGGGCAGCCAAAGTTCTAAAAGTTGGGTGACTCTCAAAGAGTTGAGTTGCCTCTTCTGAACCTCAGAAAAGCACTGAGCAAACAAGCTGAGATCTGTTCCTCCAGGGCTTGGAGGCTGCTGGATCGATGCCTGGAATGGCAGAGGCTGTTAATTCTCCTTGACTCCTCTGCTTATGGGTCCTCCCTGTTTGCACTTGGTTTCAGAAGTCAAGAAGAAGCTTCAGAGCTTGGTTTGGCATCAGTTATACCTGTGATTCTGTTCTGTACAAAAGGCACAATCATTTAGAGGCTAAGAAAAAGAACATGCTCTTTGCTCCACCTTTGAAAACTAGCACAGTTTTCCTGCACTAACAGCAACCCAGCACACATTGGCATTTTTCAGCTTTCAAAACAAACTTACCCTTCCAAGCACTGAATTCAAGTCCAATACATTGGTGGTTAAAGTAGTGGGCTCATCAGCTTGCATTATGTTGGTTACATCCAAATCTGCATCTGGTGTTTGAATCATCTTGGAGAGACCATCAACTGCAGCTTTCAACTCATACAAACGTTTTAAAATATCATCTTGGCGGGACTCAAGAGCTTGTAAAGATGGGTCAGACTCTTCCTAAGTAAACCAACATGCAAGTGTTCATTTCCTCTCACATTAGACATGTCTGTTTAAATCTGATCACTTGTCTTACTTTGTTCCATGCACTCACCAAACCTCCCACTTTTAAAAGAAGACACTAAAATACAGTAGCAGAATCATCTCATTTTCCCCAGTCCTATAGGTCCTTGCAACTCAATCTACAAATGCTTACAACAAATACAAAACATTGTTACTGAAAGTCACTTTGAAATGGTATGATTCCTATTTCAGGTAATTTAGTCTAAGAACAGAGAAGGGTAAAAAATGAACACGAACTGTTGTTCTTTATTCTGAGAATAAGTAAATAGCAATAAGACTTTAACTCAGTAATTTTAATAAGTAAAGAAAAAGGAGCACAGGTGGATTACAAAAAAAGTTTCCTTGGGCTTAGAAGCGTGCCCATGGGGTCAAATGGTCAATTCCTCAAATCATTTTCAAGGCAGTACTGACACTGACTTATTTTAAAACAAGCAGCAAACAGAACAAACAAAAAGCAATAAGAAACCACCCAATAAAGTCACACTGTGTAACTGGATTCATGAGCTCTCATGACAGGTAATTTGTTTTGAGCTGCGAGAATAAAACATTAAGCATGTAGAAAATAAATCCTCACAACTAGACAACAGGCAGTGAGCTTGAGTTTATTATAAATATGTACTTATGATGCAATGGGAGTGCAGGAGGAGTACTTGCTCACATGTGCATTCAAGAATGTTCAATGTTATTAGGAACATCTGCTCTTCCATTATTTACTCATTACACCCCCTCTCACAAAATTCCCTTCCTTGCTCTGCGCTCTAGCCACACTGTTCTGTGGAGTTCCTAAAACACCATGCTCCCTCCTTCCACAGGACCTTTATATGCGCTGTTCCCTCTGTCTGTTAACACTCCTCCTTCTTCTCTTGTCTGGTTAACTCCTATTTACCTGTTGTTCTTATTTAAGATCAAACAGCAAAGAAATGTTCACTGACTTCTGGGTAAAACAAAGAAAAACAGTTCAGTATGCCAAATAAATAATTAGATGCTGACTAGAAATAGGTTTGAATGCAAGATGTGTGACAGGTAGTGCTATCACCTGTGTAATATCCTGTTCTGATAGTCCTCCTGTGTAATATTTCCAATCTCTTTTAGCCATCCTGTATTTGTGCACAATCTTGCTCATTTCTATAAATGGCAGCAGGCTGCCTGCCCCACTAGAGTCAAAAACGCACCTACTGGATTCAAAACTCAGCACTGAAGAATGTCAGAAGTACTGCATATGCAACGTGGCCTCTAATTTATAAGCTTTGAGCACTGCTTGATATAGCCCATTGTGACCTGAGTAATGCCAAAATTCTTAAGATCTGCTTTACCTCATCAGTACCTTCTAATGTTGGCCTGTTTTCTCTGCTGAAACTAAACTATGACTTGGTACACTGTGTTTATCCATTTATTTTCATCCATACATATTTAGAAGCAGCTTATTCTTTGTGCTGCTCTCATTTACCCTGAATATGCTTGATTTCTAATGACTTGCTCATCCACATTGTTATCATCTGCTAGACAAACTGCTAGAAGTGGAACTGTGTATCTCTTAAGTTAGAGGTTCACAGATAAAAGACCAAAAAAAAATTGGCAGCAGACTTAAAAACAAACACACAAAATCTTAAATGAGATGTGATATTCTCCATTCTGGTTCCATGTGACTGTACAGGTTGAAGGGGCACGGGCCATGTCTCCATGGCAGTGTTGATTGAAAGGACCATTGAACCATGTCTGCTATTTTTGTCTTGTAGTGAAGTAACAATTGTCATTTGGTTTCAAGTTAGCCTCCCTCCCTCCCAATCCAGGCAGAAAGCCAGTAAGACAAACGGAAGGATAACAGGCAATGGAAAAACAGATAATAAAAGTTACCTTCTGTCAGAATGGACAGACTGTTTCCACTGTTGGAAACCTAAAATGTATACAGAGGGTGTCAAAAAAATGTATACATTTTAAGAAATGAAAAAACTATTAAAATTGTAATACTTGATATATGCCAATAACAAAAGATGAATATAAGTCACACTTGACTTATGCAATTGCAAGAGGTCCTCAAAAAGCATCCAGACATTTCTGATTACTGCAAACAACTCTTAAAATGAGTATGCAATTTTTTGGTAGCCCTGTTTGCAATCAGAAAAAGAGTGAACACCTTGAGAATTATAAAAGTGCAGTTACAATGGCCAGGAAATATGAACTTAGAAGTTGAAGAAATCCAAACTAAAACCACAATACACCTTACACCCACCAGCTTTGGGAAGGGTACAAACATCAGGAGTTCTTATACCCTGCTTGTTCAGAGCATAAACCAATATAACTAACCACTTTGGAAAAGAATCCAACTAGTAAAGTGGAAGACGTCTGCCCACTGAGCCAGCAATCTCATTCTTTAGTATCCTAAATTCATTACAGCATTATTCATAACAGCATAAAATGGAAAACAATCCAATGTCCATAAGCAGTAAGATGGACAAGTAATGGTTCTACTACAGAGATGAGTGTTTCCCTGTTACCTGCAACAAAATGACTTTTAAAATGTCCACAAAACAAAAACAAAAACAAAAACCCAGGCACAACAGAACACATACTGTATGCTTCCACTTACATCAAGACGAAATTGCTTAGGGACGCATACTTAGTTAAAAAAAATTATAGGCCGGATGTGGTGGCTCAAGCCTGTAATCCCAGCACTATTGGGAGGCCGAGGGGAGAGGAGTGTCTGAACCCAGGGGTTCGAGACCAGGCTGGGCAACTTGGGGAGACCTCGTCTCTACAATATATCAAAAAATTAGCCGGGCGTGGTAGCACACACCTGTAGTTCCAGCTACTGGGAAGGTTGAGGCGGAAGGATCGCCGGAGCCCAGCGGAGCCCAGGGGACAGACGCTGGGGTGGCCGTGAGCGTGCCACTGCACTCCAGCCTGGGCGATGGAGACCCCGACTCAAAAAAAAAAAAAAATTACAGAGAAAAGCAATACTCGCTATATGCCAATAGCAAAAGAGGAATATAAGTCACGTTTGACTTCTGCAACTGCAAGAGGTCCTCAAAGTGCCGAAGTCAAAAGTTGTAAGTGGGAAGGGTGGGGCGGTAACAATGCGTGTCAACCTGGGTGGTGGTGACCCTCGGGTCAGCCTTGTCATTCTTCATATGCTCCGCACGTTTCTGAGGGTAAAATTTCACTAAAAAAAAAAAGTTTCAGCGGCCACATGCGAAAGCCGAAAAGGGAAAAAGGCGAAACAAAAGTTAGGGTGACTCGTTGGCCAGCCGGCAGATGCCGGGATGGGTCTAGCAGCCGGGCCACGACCCACACGGGATCCGCTAGCCTGGGCGGGGGTGGGGGTGGGGAAAGGGTGGAGGTGGG